AGGCTCCCTGGGGGCAGCTCCAAGGCAGAGGGCAGGAGCAGCAGGGCAGTGGGGGGAGGAGCAATTGAAGTGCCAGCACTTGAGAGCTTCCTGGCCTGGATCACCTGTCAGATGCTCCAAGATCTACCGGTAGATCCCGATTGACTGGTTGGTGACCACTGCACTAGAGGTCACAGGGGTTCAATCCCCTGGCCCAGGCATTTCTTGGCCCTGCTGCTGTACCTGCTCCTTACGGGACAGTGCAGGGCCAAGCCTGTGATGGGGAAGCTGGAAACCCATCTGGACACTCCAAACCCATCTCAAATCACGGGCCCCAAATATCCACGGGTCTGGAACAACTTCTAACTCCTCCTGAGTGAGTCTGGTTCATGACAGTGACTGTAGCTGCAGACAAAAGGCCTTTAGCTTCGTAGCCTGAGGCAATCAGGTCCCTGATGGGAGCAAATTGACACCTTGAGGAACTAGTGATAGAAATGTAGCCGTGTTGCTACATAGTCCTGTTTCTTGGGGAACTAGGTTTGTTTTCCCACAATGCGTGTTTATTAAGTCAAGTTCAGACCATGCTGGAGTTTGTAGGGGCAGGGTCTGGCAGCCTGAGCCCTCTCCATGCGTCCAGAGAGAGCTCTCCTCCCAATGCAAACACTGAAACAGTGACACCTGTTCACACACCCTCTGAATGCATCTGAAATCATTTTGCCGTGTGACAGGCTTCCCTTGGTTATTGCAGGCTGTAGTGGGTTTGTCTGTGTGTCCCCCACCCCGAGTCTGAGCAGTGGCCCTGCCTATCCCGCCAGCTTACTGACCTCAAAGTCCTGTATATTCATCACACCCAAGTCCATCCAAGTCTCTATGGTCCTCAATAAGAAGCTACCTCACCACTCAGGTGACCCTCCTCCAATCACAGGGGGAGGAGGAGGCATCTTGGGCAAAAAAGCAAAATGCTGAGATCTTCACCCTCATGGTCACGTCACTGACAGGGCAAGGTCACCCTGCGTGAACCATGGAGCAGGTCTGGGCAAAGGTGAAGGAGCTCCGTCAGGGATATGTCAGGGTGATGGAGTCGAGGGGGGCGCTCAGGACCCCACACCTGCCCCTACTACAAGGAGCTCCACCACATCCTTTGGGGGGAGACCCACTTCCCCCTGCCTGAAACAGTCGGTAGTCCAGTGCCGGGAGCCTGTCTCCGACCCGAAAAAGACGGAGGGGCAAGTCTAGCCCCAGATGGAGGAGGAGCAGGATGACAACCAGGACAGTGGGACCATCATCCAGTCCCTGGAGCCAGCCTGGACATCTCCCAGGCCTCCAAGGAGGCTCGGGAGGGATCTTCAGGTACGTTGCTGCACGTGCGTCCACCCGCACTATACACACACAGCAGAGGAAGTGGGCAGCACACTGTAGCTTGGGCTGCTCAAGCAGCACATGCTGCTGCAGTGTGGACACGTGCAACCATGTACAGCGGGAGGTTATAGTGCGTGGTCACAGCAGCCAGCCCCTGAATGTACCTGGGAACCTGCTGCCAGCCTCATCCTGGCCACACAGTCCTGACTCCAGAGGGGAGGGGGCACAGCCAGCTGCAAGCAGGCTAGTCACAAGGGCGCAGGCACAACCCCCTGCCACACACACCCTGGAGTGCTGCACACAGGCAGGCCTGCATGTGAGAGGAAGCAGCCACTCCCACACACAGCACAGCGAGCTGCAGCTCTGTTTGCAGAACCCAGGGACTGGGGGAGGGGGCGGGCAGGCTGCACATGGCTCCTCTGCTGCCCATGAAGGGATCCCACTGTGGCCACACACTTCCCTTGCCTGCCTGGCCATGGCATGGGGGGAGGAAGGAGGCAGCATGGTCCTAAGGCCACCTCAGCACCCCTGTGACACAGCGTGTGCTGGGCAGGCCCCCATGGTCTTGCACATGGGACAGCCCCCTCCTGTGGGCTGCGAACTTGTGTGGTTGCCACTCACAGGAGGACACGGCCACAAGGAATGTGTGTGCGGGGTGGACTGACCCCCCCCCGCTCTCTTGTGTCTTCTCCACAGCCGGACCAGCAGGGACCGAGGGCCGTTCCACGTCACTGCAGCCCTGCCAGAGCCTGGGGGACCCGCAGACGAGACAGGCCTGGGAGGAGATGATGTGCCAGGACATTGGGGTGATGCGCAACATCCCCAGCACCCTGTTGCACCGGTGCAACACCAACCTCGAGTGGCAGCAGCAGGCATGGAGTGACCCTGTGGTGCACTGTGACACCGTGTGCAGCATCCTGTCCGACACGGGAACAGCCACTTGCTGCCGCTGCCCCACCCTCCTGCTGCCCCTGCTATCA